TTTAAAAAAATAATAAAAAGTAAAATTAAAAAAATAATCCTAGTCTATATTCATTGCATTACTCTTACCTTTAATTCAGTAACAACATTTGAAAGTTAGGTACATAGCCTGATCTCATTCTGGTAGAAATTAAGGATATTTATAAGGCAAGAGCCCTGAACCAAAACCTCAGGAAAGGAATTATTTCTTGATCTTTAATGGTAACATTTAGCAAAATAATAAAATTCTTTTTCTTAATTGACTGGTTCTCTTGAATTCCAACATCCTTATAATTATGTGTAGTATTGTGACTTCTGCACCACTCCAGAAGTTTGCAAGGATTCAGCATGCAGTCAGGGGCCGCCTACTGCAGTGACTAGGCTGCCTGGGGCTCCTGTGCTCTGGAGTTCTCAGTGACAGAGTGCAGCTCAAAGTGTTGATATACAGAGGCCTATAAGTATAAGCAGAGGCAGTATTCACTTTGATATTCTCTCAGTGATATCCTCTCCTTAGGTTGGTGAATATCTTAAGGCCTTCTTTTTTTTAATTTTCTACTTTATTTTTCATTTTCTATTGTTGTTAGAAAAAAAAAAGAAAAAGGGGTAGGGAGAAAGAAAGCCTTCTCCTGAAATTCATTTCCTGTATCCTATGTGCTAAAGTTCATTGTTATCCTTCTTTAATTTCTCATCAGTCCTTTCCATGGAAAAATATTTTTGGCTCTTGCTGCACCTAAGGGCTGTTTCTGAGAACACACTGAATATTGGCAAAGTACTCTTAGTAACTTGGATTTTAGCCTGATTTCATTATGTGTATGAAATGGAAGATTACATGTCACCAATGTCAATAGCAAATGCTTCAAGTCAGGGTGGAGACAGAAGCCAGATTTTAAAAATTGAAGATCTGTGATAAATATGGGGTCAAAGCTTGTATCTGTGTTGTTTACCACTGATCCTACAGGCCACTGCACAATACCTGCCCATAGTAAGTACTCTAAAGTTTTATAATAAACAAATAAGGGAATGTGTGACTGAATAGGTAAGAAGCAGCCACAGCTGAAAGTTCTTATTTTGAGAAAAATGTAGTTAAAGTGGTGGTTTAAAGAACCAGAGACATATATTTGGTGAGAAAGGATGAACGGAATGCTGTTGTGTGCCATTGTGTTGGTACCGACCCATGCCTGACCCTCCACCAGGTTTTCAGAGGTAGTAAATCACACTGGAGGAGATTGTCCATCCTTTTCCCTCAGAGCAACTGGTAGATTTGAGCTCCGTGCCTTTGGGATTGCAACAGTAGTGTTAATTACTAGAGCAGTCCCCACAGGACTTGAGAAGAAATGAAATAACAAATGAGAGTTTAATGTATAGAAACCCAGTGAGCATTTCGTCTTCTGCCATGAAAGAAACGAAGATTGTTTCAAAGACATCTGAGAGCTCTTGCTCTTGCTTTCTCCTGTCTCTTGCTCTTGCTCTTGCTTTCTCCTGTCTCTTGCTCTTGCTCTTGCTCTCTTGCTTCTTGCTCTTGCTTGCTCTTGCTCTTGCTTTTGCCACCACCCTCTGTAACAGAACTCCTGAGTAAACCACTGTGAGAAGGAAAAAAAAAAAAGACATCTGAGGTGAAGAGGAAGAAAACTCAAAAGATCTTTTATTATAGGTGTCTTGTAAGCTCTCCCAAGAAGAAAGTATTGAAGTTATATTTGGAAAGAGTAGAAAAGGGCTTTGTCATTATTTATTGTTATTGTTATTAGGTGCCATCAAGTCAGCTACAACTCATAGTGACTCTATGAACAACAGACTTGAACCCTGTCCTGTGCCATCCCTATCAATTCTGACACACTGGAGCCCATTGCTGCAGTCACTCTGTCTATCCATCTTGTTGAGAGTCTCCCTGTCTTCCCTGACCCACCACTTCTACAAGCATGATGTTCCCCTCCAGGGAATAGCTTATCCTAGCAACATGCCCAGAGTTTGAGAAACAAAGCTTTGCTATCTTTGCCTCCAACAAGCACACTGGCTGCATCTTCCCCAAGACATATCTAATTATTCTTTTGTCCATGGAATATTTCCCAACACAACAGCTCAAAGACATCGTTCCTTCTATCATCTTTATTCATTGTCCAGCTCTCAAGTGTGTAGCAAGTGATTGAAAAGACCATTGATAAAGGTCATAGTCCCTAAAAAATATAATCAAGAAATGTGTAAACCAGTTAGTTAACATTTCAGTAGCTCCAGTCAAAGCATTTTTGTTATTCTTTTGATCTTTGTGTGGAAAAAAGAAAAGTGTGGTGGTCCAACTTATGTGAAGTACAACTGATCTTTACTTTTTTTTGTCAGTGTCTTTGCATACTATTTCATGAATGAACTGGAAGAATTGTAGAATATTAGAGTAGAGACCATCCTGAAATATTCTAGTGTAGTGTGTTTTCATACTGTGATTCA